TTCTCCTTGGAATCGAGTCAATTAAATAAAATTCCCATAGTTAACTATGCGAGGTGTTCCTCGCAGTACTCGTATAGGAGAGATGAAGCATCCGTTATCCTTACTTTCTATTCCCTTACTTGCTGTTAAATTTTCTGTACACTGGCGTAGTTGGTGCCCTATTATATACTATCTTAAACGAAAAGAATAAAAAAAGTCCTTGAAAGAAACCTGCAAATTAAATATAAAAACTAATAATACCAATTCTACAATCGCCAGCGACAGATAATTCCAACGTAAAATTTCCGCTAACACTGCTTCTGTGCTGATCACAGGTCGGTCGTGGTCGGTGAAACAATTAGTAAGATAATGAAAAGCCTAAAGAGTAATAATTTAAATCTTAACTATAATAAAACTACATATATTCAATCTATTAATAAAATCGGGACAAAACAACTAGATACTAAATGTAACTTTTTCAGGCAATAAATTTAAAGAATCTTCACCAACAACTTTTTTAGGTATCTCATTGGATGATAAATGTTCCTGGCCTGATCACATTGACAAATTATGCAAAAAATAAGTTAATTTATGTATGTTTATACAGAGCATCTGTAGCAACTAAGAAGGATTAAACATAAAGAAACAGCTTCACAGGCATACCATAACTATTTCAATTCTATTATTTAAAGTAACTCATATTATCTATCCAAAACTGTGCCTTTATTTTACAGAAGCAATGCAACAGAGCGATTTGTAACGTTAGCCCACGTACATCTTTTTGGTAATTATTCAAGGAACTAAATGTTTTGACTCTCCCATGTAGAAATATATAAGGAGTGTGTATAACATCTCAACACATTTGCATTTATTTCAATAGAAAAGTAATTTCCGTATTTTTACCGTAAGAAATCCTCACCATGTAGTATTATCTTACAGAAATACCTACTATATGACAATGAGTATTTATAATAAACTATGAATAAATAGAAGAAACACGAAGGAAGAAAACACTACCATTTTTACTTAACTATACATTTTTACCATTAAATTAATATATTAAAAAAAAAAGATAGCTAATAGAAATATGTTTTTACTCAATTAATGAATATTTTTCTTATTTTAAATCTTGATTTATAATGTAACCCAATTTTTGACTAAGTATATTATTTTTAATTTGTATAGAATATATATTATTAATTAATAAATATATTGCCACTGTAAAATATTCTAGAAGACATTCGGTTTTTGTTTGTGTTAATAGCATAATTAAATTAATTTTTAAGGCCAGATTCTGCTGAAGAGTGTGAACATTATTTAAATATTATCTATGTACCATCCTTTTTACCACTTTGTGCAAAATAAAGTTACGTATTTGTATTTGTTGGACAGTATTTTTGGATTTATAATTTGTCGGCGTATTTCTAAAAGATGGTTATCTGAACCTCCACTCTCTCTATTTTTGCACACACGGGGATAACTTGATTCCCTGCTTACGTCTCAACTCGTTGCTAGTATTATATTAGTAGACCAAAGCTTTCATATCTAACATTTATATTCGTTTAAAACGTATAAGTACGCTGTCGCAATTTTAACCGTAACAGTCTGCTATTTAATATTGCAAGCATTTGTTTTGGGTGATCAGTGAGTCTAATCAGGCACCAGTGAGTAGAGCGCACCAACTCGGCAAACAAGTGGTGACTACCTCTATTTAACATAGGTACCTAAGTTTGACATAAGGGGGCAAAGTGTCATCCGTGGCCTAGAAGTCAGTATAAAAAATTCTGTCAGCTATCGAGGACAATACTAAGATAATGTATTATCGATTCGACATCGATGAATGAACCTCATACCAAAAAGAAAAAAAACATCATTTGAACTGTTTAGTAACATGTTTAAAAATATCCTTCCAAAAAATTCTCGTAAACATTGTCCTATCAACACTAATCGAGAAAACAGTTTTCAGTAATGAGGACTGTAGCCCCATAGCTAGCAGTATATCGTATTAGGTAGATTTTCATAATAAAATTTATTATTTAGAAACTATTATGTTTATTTCTGGTGGATACGTTACAATGAGCCATCTGACCAGAATTCATTTTCACCTATCACCTCTCAGTGGTATTCCGCTAGCGTACCTAAACCAATAGCGCAGGCGGGGCCTCTCATCGGGCTATCATTTAATTTTTGTCTATTACAAAGATAATTCTTGTCATCAAAATTAATTTTCATTAGTTTTTACCCTAGAGCAGACTTCGTTTGCGTCTCCGGAATATGTTTATTAATCGGGATTAAAAGCCAGTTTCATGACAATTAGTTGAGTCGTAACAAACAAATACGTTCACGTATTATATTAGTAGGGATATTAAGGTTGGACTACATTGAATGGTTACTATGGAGTACAGCAAATAGTCTATTTAATAATCACTACATAGTATAAAACAAATTCGCTGTCGCTGTCTGTCCGTTACTATGTATGCTTATATTTTTAAAACTACGCCACGGATTTTGATGCGGTCTTTTTTAATAGATATACTGGTTTAAGAGAAAGGTTTATATGTACTCGTATAATACATGCGTAATATAGTAGAGAAAAACTGTTAATTTTAGAGGTTTCAAATGTGATGTGATATAATGTGCACCCGTGCGAAGCCGGGGCGGGTCGCTAGTAATTGATAGTTTATTTAAAGTAAAACTCTTTAAATAAAATACGCCTTTTTATTATTATTTTTTTAATTTATTTTGCATTTATTTATATTATTACATTAAGAATTAGGGAAATCCGAATAGCCAACAAAATTATAGACCACATTCATAAATTAACACAAAAGATAAAAAGTCTTCAAAATATTAAATTTAATACGAGACTTGCATGGTAAGAATAGAAGTATGGAATAAGTATTGTTATTTCTTCTCATTTTTTACGTATATCGATTTTATCATGGTCGCAGTAGGTAGATTCCAAACAATTATTTTCGTTTTGCAATTTTAGAAGTTTTAATCAAATTTAAAAATAAAAACACAGATTAAAGAAAAATGTACCAGATATAATTTCGTGTATAAATTTTAAATATCTGTTTTCCGGCTTTGGCTTTTTTTTACTAAATTTATTCAATTTACAATTCAAATAAATCAATTTCAAACACACGGATTGTAGTTTAAGGATCGAGTTTTAATATTTTTTATTTTCATATTTTTACTGTTGCCTTAATCTGGGAATAATGTTTTAAAAATCACATTTTAAGGGATGTAGCGTCTTAAAATATCACCAGGTTTTGGTGCTGTTGCCAACCCGCCTGCCAAGTGTTGCGGTTACTGGCAAAACTCCCCTAATAGGGGGCACCTATGTTCAGCAGTGGACAGTTACGAGCTGATATGATGATGGGTTAAGGAAGTTTTATACAAAAAAAGATTTAGAATAAATATTTAAACTTCGTAACTAATATAATTACTCACAGAAAGCTGCAAGACCAGCTCCGAAAGCCAGTTGTTGATGTGGTAGTAGCATTGGACGAGGACAAATCGGCAAGGGTGGCGGCGGCACCCATAGTGGTGGACTCCGCACTTCTGCACCCATGCCTTCATTTTCTCCAATCTCCACGTCGGAAGACGACTCGCTTTCAAATTGTAATCTCTCCGTCGCTTCATTTGTTTGTTTTGTGACTCCAGACTCTTCAAGATGACCGTATATACGAGCAAAAAACTTTCGAGGTGACGATGGCCGCGGAATTTGAATAGTTGTCTGCGGATCTAATACATTACTGTCGGTCTTATTATCGCTACTCATCGTTTTATTAATGAATTCGTTTTTGTATCGTATATTTTAATAAAATTTTAAGTACATGTGTTGTCTAAACGCAGGGATCACGTGTATTGAAGTTGCGTCAGGTGCGTTTCCCGACATCCTTTGAGGACATAACTCCGCCCCTATTATTATAGCGCTTCGGCCCTGTCTCATCTCCGAGTGGAAAGGGGTTGGTGGCGAATATATCGGACCAATCCGGGAGTTTATTGTGCGCAAAGCCTGCCCTATAGGCGTATTTCTAAAGTTTTCTGTACGTCATTGTTAAATTATATCATATGGAAAGTTTCCCAAAAATGGCATAGTATATTTTACAAATGTCAACTACTATCTTTCGGCTTGGCCAAAATATCCTATGTGTAAAACTAGATTAGATATATGAGTACAATTAAATTAAAAATATTAAAGCAAAAAATACGTCATTTAAAAAACGGGAACTGTATGGTGTAGGCAAGCATTAAAAAGTTTTTTAAATATTCCATTAAAGATCTAAATTGAAAACTATATGCAGTTAGTAGGCACTTGGTAGAGACCAAGTCTTTACTTTTAAGATAGCTTTACGGCTTTGGATGTTTCCTTTTAGCCCGTCTTTAATATTTATTACTCTTATTATAGTGAATATTCTTCATAAAAGTTTTATTTATTCATTCATTCATAAACTTTACTATCCACTGCTGAACATAAGCCGGGGAAACTTGGGAGGTTTTGCCAGTAACTGCTATGCTTAGCAGGTGGATTGGCAACCGCAGTTAGGCTTTGGAGATGTTTTAAGAAGGATCCTGTTGCCCATCCTTAGTCGCCTCTTACGACGCCCACGGGAAAGGAAGGAGTGATGCCTATTTGATGCCTGACTATTCTATGCCGGGACCACAAGGAACTTTTATATATTTATTAAATTAAGGATATGATTCGTATTACAAAAGAAGCTATAATATAAAATTCAATTTGTATGTATTAGATTATTTTTTGTAAAATATACAAAAATAGAAGTTAAAATATGATTATGTAAAATTTTGTCCTGCGAAAAAGAACTATTGTGATGTAGAGATTACAGTCGTAATAAAATGTGTGGGTCTGACGTGAGAAAAGAGTCATTAATTTTGATAATTATTTTTGTTATGGATCAAATCAAAGATTACTAGTGTCTACTTACTCGTATTTAACATTTTCTTTTTACGTATTTACGTTTGACAGCTTGCTTGTCATCCAATAATATTAATCCGTTGAATTATATTCTTATTTCTTCCTATTTAGTTAAATGTAATAGTGAATACAATGCAGAAAAACACAGCTGTATTAACAGTTGTTTGTATTTTGTTATGTCTAGCTTTCAACTACACATTCTCTCTTCGCAGAGATACTAATAAAAAATGGTCATTTATTCGATCAAATAGAAACCGTAAGTATAAAATGATTTATGTAATATATGTAGGTTCTCGGGGGAATGTTGGCAATGGGAATTAGTAATAGAGTTGCTAGCAATATAGATATCTATTCTGTTATGTTAACCTCTCGGGTTATTTAGTTAATCATGATGGTAAATTCATGGTGAATTTTTAGGCTAAGAGACCTGACTTTATCTTCACTTATTATCATTCACTGGTATCCCATCAGAATAAACCAACAGCGCAACGTTAAAAAAAAATACGTTCTTGCGTCATCCGAAGTTAAATTTATTTGATAAATTCTTAAAAGATATGCTATTTACAGGTACCCGGTTATGCAATGCCCTTCACCATACAGATATTGCCGAAAGAACTAAAAAAATGACTAATAACATGGAAAATGCAATGAAAAAAATTAAAGATTCCGCTCATGATATTTATATAAATGGAATAAAAAAATCTCAAAGTAAAATTAAGTTTAGTGATGATGATTTCCGTTCATTTGAGTTGTCAGTTATTATGAAAAAATATCCTTACTTAGATTTAAAGGAAATTGAACAGAAATTTAGCCCTTCGTCAAATAAAAACACAAGACAAAGTTATCAGGCTTTACCGGATGAAGCTAACTTTAGGCACGATCCTAGTCTTTGTGAATCAGGAGACGATATTATTAATGTGGAAATATCGAATCGAGGCCTCTCAGGTTTCTCTATACCGCCAAAACTTATTAAAAGTGAGAGCATGGTTGAAAATAAACTGAAAGTGAACAATTTAAAAAATCCAGTTAACATGTCTGAAAATCTCATTGATGTATCAAAAGTGCCCGACCGTGATGTTTTAAATAGTTTAAAAGCCGATATAATATCATATGAAGAAACGAAAATTCATAAAGATATTTTGATCAAATGATTTTAATCTAAGTAGATTATTAATGAATAGCTGTTCCTTATGTCGCTGCTCGCGTGCATTAATGTACTTATAAATTATGTGTTAAGTTACAATATAACCTACTCTTGTACCAAATCTTAATTAAATCCCTTTAGTCCTTTAAGCACACACGTTTAAGTAACAAACATACATGCTCATAAACTTTCGCACTTATTACTTTACTACTTAATCCCCCCATATTATAAAGCCTTAAACATCTAATAAATCTATTTTAGCTATTATTGCAGTGTTGTCTCTTTTTATGTATACAATGAAATCGAAATCGTCAGTCAACACCCTATGGAGTGTTCTACTGGTCAAACTAAACATTTTCACCAGCAAATAGTGGATCGAAAAAGACATCACGCTTTTTTTAATACAGTCAGGGGATGAATTTTAGGATATACTAAAATTAAGTTTCATTAATTTTGTATAAGAGATATAAGTATGATTAATTTCAAGTAAAACAATCCCTTTCTCCCCGATCCTAAGGTATCTATTATCTAATAGGTACATATGAGTCATATAGATGCAAAGGCAGCAACATCCTATTTTTCAACACTAGCGACTTTGAATATAATGTGTCAGTGTCAGATCAGGTTTATTATTTGAATTAATAAGTTTGTAGCAAAAATAGTAACATCATGTCTAAAATAACCGTAGAAAATATAGGTTTGTAGCAAACACAGTAATATCCACTTTAGTAATACCAAAGACAGCAACATCCGATTTGACCAATCAGGTATCTGTATTTGGCTACCATGTTACTCGATTTAGTATGGCGATTGCAGTTTGTTAGTTTTTCTGTACTGTTTTTATTTTTGAAAATTAAATACGAAAAAGATATTATTTTTGTCAGTAATTGTAAAAACCAACACAATGGAGAATTTTCCTTTGTGATAAAAAGTCGAGTAGAAAAAGGCAAGAAATGGAAGAGAAATATAGAAAAAGCAGCGGTAAGTTGTAGTTCGATTGATTGTTTTTGATCCTTTATTGCAATTGATATAAGGGATTATACCATAACGACGATGACCGCTTACCTTCGGTACGGTGGTGGCTTGATAATTCAATTGCACTAATATTATAAAAAAAATTACGAGATATATACTGCTTAATAAAAAAAAAAACCTAAATCATGCATGTAAAAGTGAGCTTGTTTCCTTTTCATGTCTAAACTACTGAACTAAATTTAAATAAAGCTTTTCTCGGATTCGATTGATTGGTGAAATTCTCATAAATTGTAGAATTGTATTTATGTTTTAGGTATTCTCCAAAGACTCTTCCAAGAAGGTTACTGTGTCGGCACAAGAAAAATTTTGGATGTTTGACACTATCTATGAAAGATGTGAAGCTATTTTATGATAATTTTTATGCAGATCCAGATAAAAGAAAACAGGATGCTTATATTTTAAAACATTGTACCCCTTGTACTGTATCACGTCGCCGTCAAATCAAAATATGGAAAGCAAGACTTTCAAACAAAATTTTATATTTATTGTCAATCGCTAAAGAAAAGAGTGCAAGTGTGTCAACGTTATTTTTTAACAGTCTTACAAATTACAAAGTATAGAGTTCAAACTGTGTTGAAAGAATATTATAAGACTGGAAAACTATTGTCTGAAAAAAGAACATCGTATTTCAATAAAATATGCGGCAAAACGAGAGGCTATAATCAATTTTATTAATAAAATACCGTGCCAAGAACCACATTATTGTAGAGAAATACTAAAAGGTATTATTTGTCATCAGAATTATCTATAAATAAATTACACCACGCATATAATGCTGAAGTTGTCGATAGCCTAAAAGTAAAGAAGTCTTACTTCAGGCATATATTCAATACAAAATATAATCTTTCATTTGGCACTCCTCGAACTGATGTATGTGCAACTTGTTTAAAATTCAATGAGCAAATGAAACGCGAGAAAGACGTTAGTAGAAGAAATAATTTAATAGTGGCCCAAAGACTACATAAATTGCGAGCAAAAGCTTTTTTCGAAAAAGTTAAAGAAGAAAAAATTAAACTAAAGACTTTCTCGTATGATTGTCAAAAAAATCTTAATCTGCTCAAAGTACCTGATCAGGTTGCATACTATTTGAGAAATATTTATTTGTATAATTTCACCATAGTAGAGGGATCTTCACAGAGTAAATTGCGTTCTGAAAATGTGTTTGCTTACTGTTGGACCGAAAACCAATTTCCCAAAGCAGCCAATGAAATAGCTTCAGCCGTTTACCACAGGTTGAAAAATACAGACTTGTCATCCACAGAAATAATAAGACTTGCTGCAGATGGATGCGCAGGTCAAAATAAAAATACGATAATGTTGGGAATGCTATCTAAATGGTTGACTGAAGCGCCACAAAACGTCAAGGCAATAGAGCTTGTCTTTCCTGTGGTTGGAATTCGTACATACCCCCAGATAGGGTGTTTGCCCAAATAGAAAAACAACTAAGAAAACATGAAGTGGTTAATAACAATACTTGAATATTATTTCAAAATTTAGCACAGTTAACAATTTAGGAACTGACGTTGAAGTATTTGATTGGAAGACTGCTGCGCAGCAAGTCTTTAAGCCCGTCGGTAACTGGCATTTTCAGTTTAAACTTTGCAAGCGTTTCATATTAACACGTTCAAAAAGACCTGGAAATATTTTGATCCAAGGACATCTACACTATAAAAATGATGATGGAGTTTCTAGAAACGTTTGTAAAAGGAATAAAACAATCTCCATGATAAATCCACAAAAAATTAATGTTTCAAACTACATAACAAGCAGTAAAAAAAAAGATATATTGACTTTGCTTACAAGTCATTGGGGAAATGACTGGCAACAAAATGAGGATTTGTCCTTTTTTGTACCCTTACTGGAAAGAATTGATAAAAATGAAGAAAATGAAGATAGAGAATATGATGCAGAATGTGAAGAATATGAGGAAATAGATGATATGCATGTTTAATAATTAATAATTATAGTTGTAGTATTATTTGTATTTTTACCATTTTCAAAATAAAAATTTTGATGTACATAATATTTATTTTTAATTTATTTTTTATGTTATATATGTATATGGTATATATATGTATATATATATATATACATTATATATATATATATATATATATATATATATATATATTTCTAATTAATTTTCTAAATAACAAGTTCAAAATAAAAATTTTGACAAAGTACATAAGTTAACGTTAGTGCAGGTATATTTATTTTTAATTTATTTTTTATGTTATGGCGTATATGTCATATGTATATATATGTATATATATATATATATATACACACATATATATATATATATATATATATATATATATATATATATATATATATATATATATATAAAAGGTGAAAAATAAAAAATATATTAGATAAGTATCAAAATTCTTTAGATTAACTATGATCTAAAGTTTATGATTGCAAATACAGCAACATCCCGGAGATTTAGCTGCAAAGATAACAACATCCACGAGTTAGACGCAGAAACAGAAACATCCTAATTATATATGCAGTTTCTCGGAACATGTTGATATTACTATGATATTGTAACTATTCTTTGTGATAACCATGTAATTCTCTAAACTTGAGTGTTTAAAAAATTATCCTATAGTAACTACATTGCTTTTAAACCATAAATATTGTTTGCTGCCGTTTCGGTAAAACTGGATATTGCTATCTTTGCATCTATATGACTCATATAATAGTATACCAAATTCATATGTAAAAAAATATTTCTTTGCACAATTAGGTACTTACCCCCAAAAGTTCTTTTTTTACTTTTAGGTAGTCTTGCAGAATTGAAATAATGACAGACTTGATTTTTATAAAAATAAACCATTGAAAATTTCATAGGAGGTATCAATCGACTATAAAATTGCTGACGTGCAGGGCTAGCCATAGGAGCTACACATCAATAAAGGGTCGCATCTAATTCGATCTTGGTACTTTTGATTTTATAACTGAACATCTAATACTGTACTGCCAAGAGAAATAAGGCTAACAAGTGAAACCTAGTGATCTATGACGCTGTTTGTTACGCCGCCTTATAAAGCAAAAAGGAAAATAGTTTGAATGTAGCTAATACTGAAACTCTGTCAATTTACATAATTCTCTTGTGATAGTAATTTTCTGTGTAATTTGTGATAATAATTCTGAAAGCAATTACCTGCGAAAACTAGCCTTTGTTAAAATCATGTCAATAATATTCAAAAATTTTATCAGAACTTTATAGATAGTAAATCTTTAGGGTTCAAAATCCCTTGTTGTGTACAATTGCGTTATACTGTTCTGCTTGTTCAGTAGTCAGCAATAGTCAGTTTAATAATATTTTTTTAATAAGGTTTATTTCATAAGGAACAGGCGAAAGTATAAGACCATGCTGTCTAGTCTTCAGTTTTGGTTTAAATATTGCTGTTGTAGCTTAATCATTCAATATAAAATTCAATCGATTTTACTAGTGGGAGACTTTGCATAAAAGTTGTTTGCTTGAGCACCTCTGTCCCATTCGTGTTTCTATCGTGAAGCAGTCGTGTTTGCATGTGTTTTGGTTTGAATTTACAGGGTATGGAGGAATAACACCTGACTCAACGCATGGGGGTATCATGGACGAAACAGTATATTTTGTTATGTCCATGGTACTGCTCATGTCTATAAGCGACGGATACCATTCCATAAGGTGAGCTGTCGGCTTTGCCATTCTAAGTTGCATAAAAAAGAAACAGTGAATAAAATGTTTTCTTTTTTAAATATTTTTTTACCGTTTGGAAATTTTCTTACTAGTAAATATATATCCAGGATTCTGTATTTTATTTAAAAAATAGACTAGGTTATTTAGTAAAAAGAATAAAACAGTAAAAATTAGAAAATTGTGTTAAATAATATATGTAATTAAATTTAGAAAAATATAATTCTTTTATAAGTTTGATGTAGGCAGAAAACCTAGTACGGAGTTAGTAATACTGACAACTGAATATGTCAATCAGTCATTCAGCGGGCTGACTTTCAGGTTCAGCTGTCGGGTTAAGTCATCACTTCAATAGCTATTTAATTACACCTTTATCCATTCTATCTTATCGAAATTT